CTGTCGAGATTGTAACGATGCTTGAGCCTCTCTTCGTAAACCACACACTCGATGCCTCCTGTCAATCCTCCTCCCACTCCTCGTGATAACACTCTCCTCTTCTCCACTCGCGACAGCCTCCCTCCCTCCCCTATAACTCGCAAGTAAGAGAGCAAGAGTGATTCTTCAAGAAGCCTTACTTTCAGTTGAAAGCAAATTCCCCTTCATACTGCATGCTAGCCTGCCGCATCGCTGGATGAAGCGCGAATTAGAGAGATGGCACTGTGTGCTTTCAGAAGACAGAAAACAGCAAGTCACACTAATTCCTCCCTCTCACCGTCTAGCCTTTTACCAGCAATCTAACCAAATCAGTCGACGCCCGCCCGCACATCCAGAGCCTTCGTCGTCGACAGATCAGCGCTGACTTGGCGGCATGGCTGCCCGCTGACCTGCCGGCAGTGCTCGCGCGCTCCACCGGCAGCACCCGCACAACCACCAGCAGCGGCCACGTGCTCTGCCAGAAGCCCGCGCCCATTCAGCCAGCAGCACGCGCTTGCTCTACCAGCACTGTTCTCGTACTCCGCCAGCAACGCTCGCGCTCGACAGCCACCAGCCTATGAAACACCCGCGGACACGTTCGCGGGTCCGATCTCGGATGGCGGACGCAGACGGGTCCGCATCCGCGGCCGACCTGGTCCTCACCGCAGACCCGATTTTACCAGAATTTTCCTGAATTAAATAATAGGTTAAAAAAAAAAACTAAAATTTTGGAATCCATACTTTGTTTCGGATTTAAAAAAAATCAAAAACTAAATTCGATTTAAATAAAAATAAAAATAAAAAAAATAAAGAAAAGTTGGATTTTTTTTTTGTCATTTTTTATCATCAGATATATGGTCCCACCTGTATTTTTTAGAAATGAATTTCTGTTTTTTGAAGGGGTATGAGGTGTTTTAGAAAAATAAAGATACAAAAGTTAAAAATAAATAAACAAAAAACGTGAAAAAAAAAAAGGTTTGATTGGTTGAATGATATTAATTGATTGATTGATTGATTGATTGATTGTGTGTGTGTGTGTGTGTGTGTGTGTGTGTGTGTGTGTGCGTGTGTGTGTGTGTGCGTGCACCCGTGGTTGTGGGGGTGGGGCGACCCCTCCCCCACCAACCAACCAACCAATCAATCAATCAATCAATCAATCAACAAAAACAAAAAGCAAAATCGAATAAAAAAATCAATCAATCAATCAATCAAAGGTGGGGCGGGGCGACCCC